GTGAACTTGAATTTACGGTTTCTTAGGAGAGAATCCTGGTGTAAAATTGGCGATTGTATCAAATAAAAGTTTTAATCTTAATCTTTGAAGAGTTAGTGTCAACCCTTTTAGCCAATAAGCGCTGAAATAATACTTCTTCAAGGAGGCTTGTGGGAATGTGGCAAGACTCCCACCCTGTCATGTCTTCACTGAATTACAGCCATCTTGAATCTTTACTAAAATAGAAGTACTGTTTTGTGCAAGTGTTGGTTCGAGTGTCTTTGATATCTGCAGAGGAAGGCCTCTGTAAGAGCATGCGTCAGTACAATTCTCAGGGAAGGAGCACCCTTGCGTGTGTTTATCAGCATTGCTGCTTGCCCAGTGCATTCCTTCCTGTGTGAGAATGAACACTGTTGCTCAGACGATCCATATGTGAAGTCTTTCATCAGATCATCTCCGGGAGGTGTCAGCCTTTTGATAGCCAGTTTGTAGGAGGCATACACATAACGAAATGCTGTAATTTTACTTCAGAAGGGCAGAGATGTGACCAGAGCTGCGGCTTGCAGACAGCCTGGCATACGGGGGTGGGAGGCCACTGGGGAGTTGACTTTGGTTCAGTTCCAGTGACGCTCAGCTCCAGTTTTAGGGTCGGTTTCCCAATTGCAGGGCTTTCTCCAGAGGTACAGGCTGCCAAGGCACATACACAGTTGGTTTGCGTGTTCCTCCAGGGCTTGGGGCTGTTCATTTCTCTCTAAAGCCCAGACATGGAGGCATTGGAGAAGAGTGAGAAGTGCTATTAATAATTTATTTGAAAGGGGTTTCTATTTAGTGAAAGTGTTGAGTAAGCAAACAAGATATTGTGGAATTAACTAACTAAAAAAAAAATCTATTGAGTCTTTTAGCTAAGGACAGATTTTTACTTATTTTAGTCAGGGGTGAAATTCAGATGAAATATCAGAGAACAAATTGTCTGTTGGGTGACAAAAGATACCCTTCAAAAAAAGTTTTGAGACACTTACATGGTGAGATCAGTTGGGGAGGTCTCCTTTTAAAAGTGTAATTCTTGTTGCTGTTTATAGGATGATAGGCTTTCTCAGTTTGTTCGTGAGGTCCCATGATTTTAGGAATAAAACAATATTTAAAAAAAGAAATCAAGCAATTGCAGACTCAGACATGTGATTTTACCTTATATTCCTCTCCCTGCAACAGGTAAGATAGTGCACAGGATACATGAGATAGATTTAACTGGCATTTTTAGTCATGTGACTCTAAAAGAGTCTCTATTTCCCCTTGGCCTCTCAGTTCTGGTGGCCTTTCTTTTCTTTTCTTTTTTTTTTTTTTAAAGATTTTGTTTATTTATTTGAGAGAGAAAGAGAGAGCAAGCATGAGCAGGGAGAGGGCTAGAAGCAGAGAGAGAATCTCAAGCAGACTCTGTGCTGAGTGCAGAGCCTGACTCGGGGCTCGATCTCACATCCCTGACATCATGACCTGAGCCGCAACCAAGAGTTGGACGCTCAACCAATTGAGCCACCCAGGTGCCCCTATTTTCTTTTTTGAGTTTAAAAAATAATAGTAAAAGGAATTTTAAAAAACGAAACTCAGGTTCCCAAAATCTTTGTCTGGCTTTTTTTTTTTTTTTAGTGGGGGTGGAGGGGTATTTTTATTTCTTAGTTTAATGATAAATATTTTACAAAGCTGTAATCATAGTATAAAATTTGGGACCTTTAAGAAAGTTTTTATTTATTCCAGTTAACATATAGTGTAATATTAGTTTCAGGTGTATAGTATAGTGATACACCTCTTTTATGTCTCACCCGGTGCTCATCACAAGTGCGCTCTTTAACCCCCATCACCTGTTCCCCCATCCTTCCCACCTCCCCTCTGGAGCCTCTGATGACCATCAGTTTGTTCTCTATAGTTAAGTGTCTGTTTCTTGGTTTGTGCCTCTTATTTTCCTTTGCTCCCTTGTTTTGTTTCTTAAATTCCACATATAAGTTAAATCTTACGGTTTTTGTCTTTCTCTGACTGGTTTCACTTAGCGTAATACACTCTAGCTCCATCCAGTTGCAAATGGCAAGATTTCTTTTTTTTTTTTTTAAAGATTTTATTTATGTATTTGACAGAGAGAGACAGCGAGAGAGGGAACACAAGCAGGGGGAGTGGGAGAGGGAGAAGGAGGCTTCCCGCGGAGCAGGAAGCCCGATGCGGGACTCGATCCCAGGACCCTGGGATCATGACCTGAGCCGAAGGCAGACGCTTAATGACTGAGCCACCCAGGTGCCCCTGGCAAGATTTCATTCTTTTTTATGACTGAGTAATATTCCATTATGTATATACACCACATCTTCTTTATCCACTCGCTGATAGACATTTGGGCTCTCTCCATAGTTTGGCTATTGTAGATAATGCTGCTGTAAACATCGGGGTGCATGTATCCCTTCAAATTAGTATTTCTGTATTTTTTGGGTAAATACCTAGAAGCACAATTGCTGGGTCATAGGGAAGTTCTATTTTTAACTTTTTGAGGAACCTCCATACTGTTTTTCAGAGTGGCTGCACCAGTTTGCATTCCCACGATGGAACTAGAGAGTATTATGCTAAGTGAAGTCAGTTAGAGAAAGACAAATACCATATGATTTCACCCAAACGTGGAGTTTAAGAAACAAACAAATGAGCTTTAGGGAAGAAAAAGAGAGAGGCAAGCTAAGAAACATACTCTTAACTCTAGACAACAAACTGATGGTCACCAGAGTGGGGGTGGGCATAGGGGGCGGATGGGTGAAATACGTGATGGGGATTAAGGGGTGCACTTGTGATGAGCACTGGGTGATGCATGGAAGCCCTGAAACACTATATTGTACACCTGAAACTGATATAACACTGTTAACTAACTAGAATTTATTTTATTTTTTTAAAGATTTTATTTATTTGACACAGAGAGAGAGATAGAGAGCACAAGCAGGGGGAGCAGCAGGCAGAGGGAGAGGGAGAAGCAGGCTCTCCGCTGAGCAAGGAGCCCGATACGGGGCTCGATCCCAGGACGCTGGGATTGTGACCTGAGCCGAAGGCAGCCACTTAACCGACTGAGCCACCCAGGCGCCCCTAACTAACTGGAATTTAAATAAAAACTTAAAAAAAAAAGATTCCAATGTCATTTTTACAGAAGTAGAAAAAAAATCCTAAAATGTTTTGAAGTTTTTATAGTTACTTGGATTGTTTAATACTCTTTTGAAATGATGAACTATAATTTACTGGCCCTCCCCCCCCATCTTATTGAACCTTAAGGTCGATTTTGATTTTGGAGGTATTTGACAGTATAGCAATGAACAAGCAAACAAGATAGTGTGGAATTAACTGTAAAAAAAAAAAAAAATCTATTGAGTCTTTTAGCTAAGAACAGATTTTTACTTATTTTAGTCAGGGGTGAAATTCAGATGAAATATCAGAGAACAAATTGTCGACTCAGCTTTTATTCCTCTGTTGAAATTAGGGTAAAAACTTTAAATTATTTTTATGGTGCTTGATATGTTCCATTAACTTTTAAATTAAGGGTGTTTTTTAAATTTATTTGGTTTTTATTTATTTTAATTTAATTTAATTTAATAATTTTATTTAATTAATTTAATTTTATTTGGTTTTTAGAATTTGGGGACTATCTCTAAATTTACTAAATGGAAAATTGGAAATTTTATGAAGCGTAAAAATACTGAGCCTTTTCACCCAGGAATAACCTCATAGGTTCTGGTTGGCAGTAGTCCTAGCTGCCATCGCTGAGAAACTCCTTTGTGCTGGGTGCTCTGTATGTCTGAGTGTCTTCCAGCATTACCAGTACTATCGATTGAATTGGGTAGAACGGATCCCAGAACCAGAACATTATGCTTGAGCCTAAGTTAGTGAACTAAAAATAAAATTGGTTTCTTAGCCATAGGATTTGGTTGATTAAATTGTAGGCCAGGCAACAAGTTCTTAAACCTCAGAGTACCATGACTTCGTTTTTTTTGGCATTAACCGAACAGTGTTCTTTACACTGATGGTTCCATTTGTAAACTAGATCATGCCCTGCTTAGCTTTTGAATGCCTGGTAATAATGTGCCTTAATTGTGGGTCAGTGAAGCCAAACTAATTGCTTGTTGGGCTCTTGGATTGCCGTTTTAATTTTCTGTATAATGCAGAATCTACCAGAAACGCACAATGTAATGTCATCTAAGTAAAACTTATTAAAATCATCTTGCACACAACAGAATGCCTGATATTTTGTCCATAATCTTGCAAATTAAAAAAAAAAATTGAATGGCATTACAGAGAGTTGTAATTTACAAGTACTCCTTTTTAAGAGCCTTTGTATCCTTTCCTTTGGAAGGTATACATAAAATGACCACTATATGTTTTGTATCAGTGAATAGCTTTCTTTACCAAGTGTTGTTTTGCTTTGTGCTTTTAATATGTTTGAAACGACAGTAATAGCATGCCCTTCAGAGATGGTATCGTATTTCAGACTGTGTAATTCACCCAATAAGATTGGTATTTATCCAGTGACTTTCCATTTCAGTAAAAAAAAAAAAAAAAAAAAAAAATCTGTGCTGTGATTCTCAGCTCACAAAACACCAATCATAGGGGTTCCCTTTATAATTTGCAGGAAAAGTTCAGACATCTGTGAGATGGTTAGCATTCTTAACGTTTGTTTTCTCTCAGTCTCCCTTGACCAATGAGCAGACCTGCAGAGGACTTTGTTTTGACTCTGTACTAGTTTCATTCATTTAGCTAATAATTTATTGAGTAGCTGTTGAGTGCCAGGAACTTTTGTAGGTTTGGGGGATACCAAAAATTGATTTTTTTCTATTTATGATAAATATTTAGTCCTCGAGAAAAAAATCTTTGAGGCAAATCGTAAGAGCTTTTTAAAATGATTTCAGAAATGGAGTAATATAAATAAGAAGCATCTAGTAAAGAATTTAATAGATGCCTATATTGAGTTTTTCATAGAAGTTAGCCCATTACCTGTTTTTCTTTTCTTTTTGTAGGTTATTTCTTATGAGAGTCATGGATATTCCCTATCTAAACTTGGAAGGACCAGACTGTAAGTGAATTTTTATTTTCTCATTGCATCTGCACATTGAAGTGTGTGGTCTGGAAGGGATAACAGGGAAAGTATTACTGAAGAAAGAGCTTCATTCACTTAAAAACAGGCAGTGATTTTGTGGTTGATATGAATAGTATGCTTAAGTTAATGGTGCCCTTGGGTCTTGATTAACTCATCTCTGTATTTATATTTTCCAGTTTATGCATGAGTTGAATTTTAAAAGAGTATATATCTTCTCTTCATTATTTCGTTTTCACTCAGAGCTCTAAATTCATAATTTCCTGTAAATACACGGTAAATTTTGAGATGGCTAGCTATGTCAGTAACCATAAGTTCTCTGTTTTCCAGTCATTTGAGTATGTATATACTTGAGTTGGGTAGAGTTTTTTTTTTCTTCCCCCCGTCTTTTTCTTTGAAAACCTTGGAAGGCCTGTCTATTTGGGAGGTGGTTGCTGCTGTTTTGGATTATTCTCTACTTTCTCCTCCTCGCTGTCCCACTCTTCTTTTCCATTGCTCTCTTTCTAGCCTTGGTTTATTTGCCTTAAAATCCATGCCACAGGGGTGTAGAAAAGGGTGAACTGTACCTGATGATAATAGTCATTGCAGTGATATGTGGAGTACATGTGTTGCATTCCAGATTAGATTTCTATTTTGATGCACTATTCTCGCAACAGTTCTGCAAGCTAAATACCATCATTCCCAATTTATAGCCACGAGTAGCTAGAGTGGTTTGGTCTCTTGCTCAGAGGTGCACAGTTAAGCGGCGGGTCTGAGATTAGAACACGAGACTGACTCAGGACTGCCTCCCCTTAACCTCAGTCCATTGGATTTGGATGGTGCGCTAAATACGCGGACAACTAGATTAATAGGAGAAAAACACTTAGTGAAATGTCTTGAACAAAGCAATCTTTTTTTTTTTTTTAATTCCCTTGAAACTTCATGAGCAAAGATAGTCTGCATAGAATTGTCAGGGTTCAAACCGTTGTGGGTTCTAGGAAATATCAGAGCCCAAGTTGAGGCTAAGATGGCAGAGTCCTGCCATTCCTAAAAATACGTTTAGGAGTTGTTTGGTAATCATGAGTCATTCCCAGCAATTCCTCAAGTTAGCTGGGGATTAGTTTCATTAAAGAACCACTGGTGTATCATTCACTTTTCAGCTGTCAACCTCTTATCAAAAATTTGTCCCATAGTGCAACCAAAACGCGATCATGTTCTCCATGTGACTTTCCCCAAAGAGTGGAAAACCAGCGACCTTTACCAGCTTTTTAGTGCCTTTGGTAAGTAAATCATAAGTCCATATGTAGTTTTAGAATTTTGCTATGTTTTTGGTCTGTCCAGGTGGCTTTAGGTATAATGAATGACAGCTTCAGCTTGGATATGAAAGAATATTACTATGCAAGGGTTTAGTCTCACTCATGGAATTTTTCAGGGTTTGGTTTATTGGTATCTTTGTACTAACATGATCTGAGGCACTTTTAATAGCACCCCACAATAGAGTGCTATTATTAATCCACGGAAAGCAGAATACTGTTGCTATGACTGCCTTTACTGCTGACCATGGAAAATAAACCTAGTCTGAGAATAAATCATTTTTAAGATTAAATTCAGAGAGAAGGTCTGTTTCATAAGGGCAGGCGGTCACTGCTTGACATTGAATAGTCCAAGCAGACGAACGCAGATGTTTGAGAGGGCCAAGAGATGAGTTATGTGTGCGGTAGGGCAGTTCTTCTAATTCCTTTTTATCAGGTCAGGTGATAGGTTGAAATGAACCGTCTTCTGATTAGGGTTTATAAAGACCTTTCTGACTGTAAGTCTTAGCAGTGCCTGTTTTTTTTAACAAATATTCAAGTTGTTCTCTTTGGAAATTCTTGGATAAAGTAAAGACAGCACAGACCTAAAGGGCCAGTAATTAGACTGTTTAGTAAATGTTTATATACCGCCAAAACAGGGTAGTATGTAGCCATTTAAAAAATATTTGAAGAGTTTATGAAAAGATGGTAAAGTGTTTATGTTTTACCATTTAGTGTAAAAAGCAGATACAAAGTAGAGTTCCTATATAACTAATATTTTTTTAATACTTTGTATAGAAATCAGACTGAAAGGAGGCCTCGTGCTATTATCAATGATTGTTTTAGATAGGTTTTTTTTTCTTCCTTGTTATGCTTTTTTGTATTTTGTATTTGTATTTTTATTTTTTAGGGAGGGAGAGAGAGAGAGAGAGACAGGGAGAGAGAGAAAGAAGAGGGGAGGGGCAGAGGGAGAGGGAGAGAATATTAGGGAGACTCTATGTCCAGTACAGAGCCTGACAAGGGGCTCGATCTCATGACCCTGAGATCATGACCTGAGCCGAAATCAAGAACTTAACCAACGGAGCCACCCAGGTAGGTGCCCCAGCTTTTCTGTGTTTTCTAAAATAAGCATCTATTTATTAGCTTTTATAAGCAAAACACTTTACAGACTTAATTTTTAGAAAAGTAAGTGAAAGCAGGTATGTTTCAGGAAAGTTATCCTAGTCTTTGCAGACGGTCTCAACAGCTTCTGAAATTCTAGTCCTATTTTTTAATTTAAATACAGATCTAGAAATGCAGTTGAATTTCACAGCTCATTTCTTTTGAGAGCTTTTGATGTTGTTGCTGTTTTTTCTCATCTTGTATTATTAAGTTCTTACCCCTATGTAGTCACCCTTTAATTGGCTAAATTAAGTAGAATGCTCTGAGTAGAATTTTGTTTTCATTTTAATTAAAAAGAATCAATTGTGTGATATCGGACAAGTAGCCTCTCTCTATCTTTGTGTCCTCATCAGAGACGATGACAGTGATGATGGTGATACCCCTTACTACATAAGCATTTCATGAGGATTAAATGCGCTGATTCATGGAAGGCATTTAGAATAGTATGTGGCACCTAGTAACTACTTAGGGCATGTTCACTATTATTATTATTATTTTTTAAGATTTTATTTTATTTATTTGAGAGAGAGAGAATGAGAGACAGCATGAGAGGGAGGAGGGTCAGAGGGAGAAGCAGACTCCCCGCCGAGCAGGGAGCCCGATGCGGGACTCGATCCCGGGACTCCAGGATCATGACCTGAGCCGAAGGCAGTCGCTTAACCAACTGAGCCACCCAGGTGCCCATGTTCACTATTATTATTTATCTAAAATACACAAGGTGGAGGAGTGACTTTTGTAATCGAGAAAGTCATTATGGCACCTTGCTGTGCAGCAGGGAGTGAGGTATTGTCCCATGACAGTGAGAGCAGTTTGCAAGCATTCATAGCCTTTGAAAATTTTGATAAGAATTAAAACATTTTTTTATTACTAAATTCCAGTGATGTTGACCCACTTCTAATTCTAGTCTTCTCATGTTTTTTCAAGAAGAGCAGTAGCCAAATAATTAGGCCTCTTCTTTCCCTTTGGTTTTCTGCCCCGCCACCCGTCTCCTTCCTTGCCCCTAGTGCTCTCCAGTGTTCTGTTGTGTCTGCAGCTAGTTAGCCTTTCTTTTTTTTTTTTTTTTTAAGATTTTATTTATTTATTTGACAGAGAGAGACACAGCGAGAGAGGGAACACAAGCAGGGGGAGTGGGAGAGGGAGAAGCAGGCTTCCCGCCGAGCAGGGAGCCCGATGCGGGGCTGGATCCCAGGACCCTGGGATCATGACCTGAGCCGAAGGCAGACGCTTAACGACTGAGGCGCCCCTAGTTAGCCTTTTTTTAAGATTTGTCTCTTCATGTGAAAATCGTTCCGTTTCACTAGACTGCTTTCTGCCCCTCTTAGTGGCTTTTCTCTATTAGTCTCTCTTGGTTTTCTCTCTCTGACGCCTTCTTTTCCTTTGTTCCTCTTCTACTGTTTTCCTCACCTGGCTTTGACACCGATGTTGAATTTTTTGTACTTTTTGCTACATTGATTTATTTTATGTTTCCCATTCGTAATTTTCAAAGTTTGTGTCTCTAAAAATTTAGAAAGATGTGTTTTTGAATTTATGTGGTCTCTGATTTTTTTTGTGATCTTTTTCTTTTTTTTTTTTTTTTAAAGATTTATGTATTTATTTGAGAGAGAGAAGAGAGAGTGCGAACAGGGGAAGGGGCAGAGGGAGAGAATGTCCAAGCAGACTTCCACTGAGTGCAGAGCCCAATGTGGGGTTGGCATGGGGCTCAGTCTCACGACCCATGAGATCAGGACCTGAGCTGAAACCAAGAGTCGACGCTTAACGAACTGCACCACCCAGGTGCCCCTGTTGTGATCTTGATAGGAAAGAAATTGCCAGCTCTGGCATGAGATTGGGCTGAAAGATGAAGTGCCCCAGGATTTAATCCAGAAGGATCTTTCTTTTGTTTTTAAAGCACATTTTTAAAGCTTCTTTTTTTCCCCTCCTGGCTTATCTCTTTTCTTGAAGTGTTCACTGAAATAACTTCTGTGGTAGATTCAAGTTTTAGCTCTCTGTGGTGCCTAGATTTTGATCACGTTTTAAACCAGTACCTCATCGCTGTTGAAATTAACGCATATTCTGAAATATATCAGATATGCAAATGAAGTCTGGTAGTGATCTAATTGGCTAAATGTTCCCTTTACTTTTACTTCAACATTGCAGGTAACATTCAGATATCCTGGATTGATGACACATCAGCATTTGTTTCTCTCAGCCAGCCCGAACAAGTGCAGATTGGTAAGTGCTTTGGACATTTGTTTTGTATGTTAATAAAGTGGGAGCTCGTCCTCCTTATACTGTGGGTTCACTCAGCTGATTCACAAGCATTGTTGCCTGGTTTGTGTCTCTAAAATAAAGTAGATAATTAGTGAGTATCATGTGTAGGTGAGAAAAAAAGACCAGTTTATTAATTCATTAGGTATACTATGTAGTACATTGCTTTACTTACCTCCTTTCTGTTCCCTTCCCATGGCACTTTTTCTAAAACGAGTTGCAGATTTGCTTGGAGAATTAGAAGTAGCAAATTGAGAGGAATGGGGAACACTGCCGTTTGCTTGTCTCCATCCTTTTTCCACTTATTTATAAGTTTGTGTGCTCTATTCATTTCATTAAACCAAAAGATACTTTATTTGCTTTTAAAGTAGTATGGTAGAAAGATGGAGCACCACATCTCTTACTGGGCCCTAAATAATTTTGTTATTAACCATCTCAAAACGTTCTATTTCCTTCGGATGAAAAGCTATTGACTAAAATACGTGTTGTTCAGCTACTTATTCAAATAGATTTCAAGTTTCTCTGGTGCTTGATAATGTAAGAGGGATAACATTATAAAGTGATATGCCTAATTAATTTTTTTTTAAGATTTTATTCATTTATTTGAGAGAGAGCGAGGCAGCATGAATGAGGGTGAGGGGCACAAGGAGAGGGAGAAGCAGACTCCCCACTGGGAAGGGAGCCCAACACTGTGCTCCATCCAAGGATTCTGAAATCATGACCTGAGCCAAAGGCAGATGCTTAACTGACTGAGCCACCCAGGCACCCTGTAATTTAACAAGGTGCCACATACTAAAACTGTATTTCTGAGAATGTAACTACATGGGCAATTATTATAGGGAAAACTTGCACAAATATACACATTCAGATCAGAGTATTTTGGTGTTTCTTCTTAATGCTGTGACCGTTGCAGGAATACAGGCTACGTTGTAGTGAGAAGCTTAGGCTCTGGAATCATGCTGCTGCACAAGCTATCGTTGTGTGACCTTGGGCAGGTTATTAAACCTTGAGAAGCTGCTGCTTATCTCTGTAAACTGAGGATGATAGTATGGACTTACTGGGGTTATTGTTAGGATTACATGGGATTATGTGTGTGTGTATATATATGTATATATATATATATATAAAGCTTGGCCTAGCTTTGAACTTTTGCGATAGTTATTTAATAGTGGATTGCAGTGTGAGATGTACTTTGGGAGCACGTGACACCAAGAATTGGTGTTGGATGCTGGGCGTGAATGCGGTCGCTTGTTCAATGTTTCGGTATTTGCATATTTCTCTGATCCACTCCCCCACAATCCCTGGAAAGACCATTGAGATGGCACCCAAAGGGACTGATTATTGGAGAGCTAAAGATAACTTCAGGGAGGGAGAAGGGACTCTGAGACTGAGAGCAAAGCGAGAGGTCCTGTGGCCACAAGGACACGGACCTAGAACTCCCGGCTGGAGGTCTGGTTGCACCCCTTCTGCTCAGCGTCACTGTTTGGCCTTCCTGCTGGTCACACTTGGGTGACATTGAAACTCTGCAGTGGGATGGAAGGAGATGCACAGGCTTCAAAGCCAGACTGCCCCGCGGACTAACCTTGCCCCCACCACCTGTCAGCCATGTGTCTTTGGGCAGGTTACGTAAACTCTCTAAGCCACAGGCTTCTCCTTTGAGAGGTGGAGGCGGTGATGGTTACTTTGTGAAATGAGATCACGGACATTTAGTGCCCAGCAGGGAGCTCGGCTCTCCACGAGCAGGGCTTGACAAATGCTAGGGAGTTATTAAAATACCTGCTTTGGGGGCACCTGGGTGGCTCAGTCGTTAAGCGTCTGCCTTGGGCTCGGGTTATGATCCTGGGGTCCTGGGGTCAAGCCCTGCGTCAGGCTCCCTGCTCGGCGGGGAGCCTGCTTCTCCCTCTCCCATTCCCCCTGCTTGTGTTCCCTTTCTCACTGTGTCTCTCTCTGTCAAATAAATAAATAAAATCTTAAAAAAAAAAAAAAATACCTGCTTTGTCTCCCTTGCTGTGAACAGTACAAATGAGAGTGTGTAAAAGTGCTTGGAAATCTCTAAGACGATAGCTGGTGGTGTCTGCTTGCAAATACAAGCATATGGGTGTCAGCGCTTCTTTTCACATTGCTGCTAAACCACATCTGCTGTCCAGTGATTTGCTCTCTCACTTATGACTGAAAGATGCCTCACACGGTAGCTTTCCAGCTCAGTATTTCAGTCTGTGATACCCGACATCTGGGAGCTGCATTGCAGAATCATGTTGCCACAGAAGCACCTGCCATGTGATTTTTTGCCCACGTGTGTTGCTTCCCCGAAGGCAACATTGAGTCCATCGCCTTCCCCACTGACTCCTTCTCTAGTACCTGGAGCGCACCGTGGCTGGAGTAACTCAGTGTTTGTGTGAGTGGGTAACACAGGGAAGAGGCCAAGATGGAATCGTGCACTTTTTACCTTTTTCCTCCTAGATGAAGTAGATGACTGTTTTCTCTACGCTTTACTGGGAAAGTCTAAGTTTCCACTATTCTCTCTTATACAAAAGACAATGCTTTTTTTTTTGAGAGAGAAAGCATGTACCAGTGGGGTGGGGGTAAGGTGGGGGTGGAGGGGCAGAGGGAGAGGGAGAAGCAGGCTTCCTGCTCAGCAGGAAGCCTGACTTGGGGCTCGATCCCAGGACCCCGGGATCATGACCTGAGCCGAAGGCAGCTGCTTAACCAACTGAGCCACCGAGGCACCCCCGAAAGACAACTCTTCACATAAATACCTGGCCATTTGCGCGTGCTGTTCCTGTGAGCCTACTTCTCTTTGCCACAAGCCACCTTTGATTCTGCCATCCTCTTCCTCTAGAGCTTGGCTTTGTCCCACTTCCCTCCTCATCTCAGCTTAAACATCCATTTCTCTGGTTGTTTTCCCCCATTCCCTGTGCAGGGGATTGGGTCCCATTTTCTGTGCCGGCCTGGCATCCTTTACTGACACACCCTGTTGGACTGTCTTCCCTGGTAGACTGTAAACTCTCCGAGAGCAGGGACTAGACCTCTTGTTCACCATTGTGTCTCAGTGCTCTGAGTAGCGTCTGACATTAGCGAGGATGTTAAATGTTTATTGAGCTGAGTAAGTGATACTCAAGGTATTAGGACTTAGAAATGCCTTCTTAAATGGGATAAATGTATCTGATGTCTCTGGTCTTTTGCTGTGATTTCTAAAATTATGCAGGTGTTTCATTGAAAGACAGTGTAAAATCTGTTTTTTATATTTTTATTAATGTTTTTATTTATTTATATTTTATTAATGTTATCTTAAACAAATTACTTATTCATTTCAGCGGAAACAGAAGGCCTGTTAGATCAATAATGTAACATTGGAAAATCATTAAATGCCTATTTATATAGCAGCTTATAATGGCTTCTTTGGCACTGTTACAGACTAATTTTTAATTTACATTTAAGAAGTTTCTTCTTACCTGACACCTTTTTCTTTTGATAGTACTAAGTCTAATCAAGATTTTTTCTTTTTAAATATTTTAAATATTATTTATTTATTTATTTATTTGAGAGAGAGAGAATGAGAGAGAGCACATGAGAGGGGGGAGGGCCAGAGGGAGAAGCAGACTCCCTGCCGAGCAGGGAGCCCGATGCGGGACTCGATCCCGGGACTCCAGGATCATGACCTGAGCCAAAGGCAGTCGCTCAACCGACTGAGCCACCCAGGCGCCCCTATTTTTTTTTTTTTTAAAGATTTTATTTATTTATTTGACAGAGAGAGACACAGCGAAGAGGGAATACAAGCAGGGGGAATGGGAGAGGGAGAAGCAGGCCTCCCGCGGAGCAGGGAGCCCGATGCGGGGCTCGATCCCCGGACCCTGGGATCATGACCTGAGCCGAAGGCAGACGCCCAACGACTGAGCCACCCAGGCGCCCCCCTATTTTTTTTTCTAATCAAGATTTTTTAAAAAGCTATTTTCCATATTTTGAATATGAAAGTTCTCTTTTTTTAAAGTGCTTTTTTTTTTTTTTTAAAGATTTTATTTATTTGAGAGAGAGAGAGAGAATGAGAGAGAAAGAACACATGAGAGGGGATAGGGTCAGAGGGCGAAGCAGAGTCCCTGCCCAGCAGGGAGCCCGATGCGGGACTCGATCCCGGGACTCCAGGATCATGACCTGAGCGGAAGGCAGTCGCTTAACCGACTGAGCCACCCAGGCGCCCCGAAAGTTCTCTTTTTCTAGGGAACCTTGTTACACTATTAAAACCCTTCTCTGAAACTAATAATACAGTTTATGTTAATTAAATTGAATTGAAATAAAAAACTTAATTAAAAAAAAACAAACCTTCTACCTAGTGCCGTTTGGTTTGATTGCTGATTTTTTGTTTGTTTGCAAGAGGTGAGGCGAGGGTTCCTGTGGCTTTGGGGTGTTCAGGTGGTGATAGCCCATACCAGCCATACGTTCAGGATTGTTCCCTTGTGGTTCTTCAGGTAGGATAGTACATGACCATAGAGAACATCACCTAGTCTCACTGTTGGAGAACTTTCCTCAAAGTAGCAGAGTAAGAAATCACTTTTTTTTTTTTTAAGATTTTATTTATTTATTAGAGAGAGAGAGAATGAGCAGGGGGGGAGGAGAAGAGGGAGAGGGAGAAACAGACTCCCCGCTGAACAGGGAGCCCTATGCAGGACTCGATCCTAGGACCCTGGAATCGTGACCGGAGCGGAAGGCAGACACTTAAATGACTGAGCCATCCAGATGCCCAAGAAATCACCTTTAAGGGTCACATCTGCATAGCTCATTCATTTTTAAAATTTCTATATTCCTTTTTTTTTTTTTAAGATTTTATTTATTTATTTGACAGAGTGAGACACAGCGAGAGAGGGAACACAAGCAGGGGGAGCAGCAGGCAGAGGGAGAAGCAGGCTCCCCGCTGAGCAGAGAGTCCGACGTGGGCCTCTATCCCAGGACCCTGGGATCATGACCCGAGG